CTCTCTCTCTCTCTCTCTCTCTCTCTCTCTCTCTCTCTCTCTCTCTCTCTCTCTCTCTCTCTCTCTCTCATTTATTTATTTCGCTCGACCTTTCTGTCGGTGTTGTGTGAAATAAGAGAGAAGTCAGTAGTAAAGCTGTTAAGATATGTTCACTTGTTTGACGAACCCGTTCTTAGGTTCTCATGAATTAAATCCCAATTAAAGTGAATACAAAACATTATAAGAAAACATAATATTGAATATTTCAAATTCTTTATTGAAGTTTAATGTTCAATTGAGAATTTAATTAAATAAAAAGCAATTTAAGTGTATTCTCAGAATAATGTAAGAATTATTCACTTATTAATTGAAAAGCAAAAAATATGCATTTATTTCCGGTTTGTATACTGTATTTATTTACCAGAAAATATATTCAATTTCATATCCAATTGATTTTTAAATTCACTTTAAACTGTTATCAGAATAAAAAAACAAAACTTGTTAAAAATATATTATTTTTATTGCTTTTTGATTATGAAATGAAATTATGATACTTCAATAAATTAATGTATAAATTGTAAAAATAAATAAATAAATTTATGAATAGGAGAACTGTGATCGGGGGGCGGGGGCGGGGATCAGATGTGTCGGCGAGTATATCATTTCACGCGTTGAGAATTCTGTTTCATTATAGATGCTATCATTTCCCGTATTTTTCTGTCGATAAGAGAATAAAAGTTATTTATTGTTAAAACGAATATTTATCTCAAGACTAACCCCAGAATATCCATGAGTTGTAGACGTGGCCCGAGATTTGGGCCGAAGTGAACGACCGTATTGTCGCGACTCATAGGCGCAGAGATCGTCGTTAAGCAGTGTTCCCGAAGAAGAGACCCGATTAGGTGTGGCGTAAACGTGGTTCAGATGATGCTGACTATGACTAGACATTTGCTCAGGGTTCTGTTTTGTACCATGGTATTTGAAACAGTAACAAAAGCATACAAAATGTTTTAGCATAAAATCATGTATTTCAATATTTCTCAATGTTTCAATAACTTTATCATTATTACAAAATTATTTTAAAATGTTTTAAAACATAGAAATGTGGAAAACATACGACATAATAGTTGGTAGAATATGTGGGATTTGAAGCCATGGCTTCTGCGATCTGAGCCCATCTCATCCGGTCATCAATTGTCAATCGATAAGCAGTGGCCGCCTGTTTGTTGACATAACTGTACACACATTTAATCAATACATTAGTTAACACAATATATGATATAATATTAAAATATATTTAGAAAATGAAAGTAATTAAAGGTTAGTCACCTAAATGTGTGACCGCTGGCAGCACTCATGGCCTCCATCTTCTGTTGCTCTCTCTTCCATCTTTGACTAAATGAGTAAAAACAATTGCAAAACACATACCATTAAAAAGATATTACAAGAAATAATGTTTAAACGCATGGCTTAAGACTACTTACTTCCACATATATAGACACAAAAACGTGATTATAATAATGATAAGCGCGGCGACAACGATTAGGTGTGGCGTAAACGTGGTTCAGATGATGCTGACTATGACTAGACATTTGCTCAGGGTTCTGTTTTGTACCATGGTATTTGAAACAGTAACAAAAGCATACAAAATGTTTTAGCATAAAATTATGTATCACTTCTTGAGTGAGAATTATTACAAAATTATTTTAAAATGTATTAAAATATAGAAATGTAGAAAACATACGACATAATAGTTGGTAGAATACGTGGGATTTGAAGCCATGGCTTCTGCGATCTGAGCCCATCTCATCCGGTCATCAATTGTCAATCGATAAGCAGTGGCCGCCTGTTTGTTAACATAACTGTACACACATTTAATTAAATATTAAACACAATATTAAAATATATTTAAAAAATGAAAGTAATTAAAGGTTAGTCACCTAAATGTGTGACCGCTGGCAGCACTCATGGCCTCCATCTTCTGTTGCTCTCTCTTCCATCTTTGACTAAATGAGTGAAAATAATTGCAAAACACATACCATTAAAAAGATATTACAAGAAATAATGTTTAAACGCATGGCTTAAGACTACTTACTTCCACATATATAGACACAAAAACGTGATTATAATAATGATAAGCGCGGCGACA